CTCCAGGAACTGATGAAATACCCACTGAGATGTTTCCATAAACGGATTTCATGCTGGAGGCACTTGTCTATGCCAAGAAATGTGGAACACAGCTACCCGGCCAACTGACTGGAAGAGAGCCATATTTATGCCCATTTCAAAGAAGGGTGATCCAACAAAATGTGGAAATTACTGAACAGTATCATTAATATCACATGCAAGTAAAATTTTGCTAAAGATAATTCAAAAATGGTATTGCAGCAGTATATTGATCGGGAACTTCCAGAAATGCATGCTGGATTCAGAAGAGGATGCAGAACAAGGGATTACTGATGTCAGATGGATCTTGGCTGAAAGCAAAGAATACCAGAAGGGTGTTTACTTGTGTTTCATTGACTATGCAAAAGCATTTGACCATGTGGATCATAACAAATTACGGATAGCACTGAGAATGGGAATTCCAGAACACTTAATTGTGCTCATGTGAACCTGTACATAGATTAGGAAGATGTCATTCTAACAGAACAAGGTGATACTGCATGGTTTAAAATCAGGAAGGGAGTGTGTCAGGGTTGTATGCTTTTACCACACTGTTTCAATCTGTTTACTGAGCAAATAATATGAGAAGCTAACCTATATGAAGAATACGGCATCAGGACTGGAGGAAGACTCATTAACAAACTGAAGTATGCAGATAACACAACCTTGTTTGCTGAAAGTGAAGATGACTTGAAGCAGTTACTGATGAAGATTAAAGACTACGGTATGCAGTATGGATTACACTTCAACATAAAGAAAACAAAAATCCTCATAACTGACCAACAAGCAGCATTACGGTAAATGGAAGAAAGACTGAAGTTGTCAAAGATTTCATATTAGCTGGATCCACAATCAACACCAACAGAAGCAGCAGTCAAGAAATCAGACGTCTTACTGCGCTGTGCAAGTGTGCTGCAAAAGACACCTTTAAAGTGCTGAAGAGCAAAGATGTCACTCTGAAGACTAAGGTGCACCTAAGCCAAGCCAAGATATTTTCAGTCACCTCATATGCCATGTGAAAGCTGGACAATGAATAAGGAAGACCAAAGAAGAGCTGATGTTTTTGAGTTGTAGTGCTGGCGAAGAATACTGAAAGTACCATGGACAGCCAGAAGAACGAACAAATGTGTCCTGGAAGAAGTGCAGCCAAAATGTTCCTTGGAAGTGAGAATGGCTAGACTTCACCTCAGCTACTTTGGTCATGTGGTCAGAAGGGCCCTTTACCTAGAGAAGGATCTCATGCTTGGGAAAGTGGAGGGTCAGTGAAAAAGGGTAAGACCCTCAACAAGATGATTGACCCAGTGGCTGTAATGATGGGCTCAGGTATAGCAAGGACTGTGAGGATGGCACATGACCAAGCAGTGGTTAGTTCTGTTGTACATATGGTTGCTAGGAGTCGGAGCCAACTTGACAGCACCTAACAACAAAACATCAGTTATATTGTTCCCAAAGATTTTTTTTCCTAGTCTGCAGGTTTAGTTGCTTTATAACTTTTTACAATATAAATATTTTAACAATTTGACTATGATATGCCTACTTGAACTTCACTAAGGTTATTTTTTGTTTTTAAATTTATGCTAAGATTCTCTCGAGTTTACTCAATCTGTGGGTTAGTGACTTTTATCACATTTGTAAAGTTTTTAGCTATCATTTTTTCAAATAATGCTATAGTTTTGTTCTCTCTTTCGGTTCCTTCTAGGACTCTAATTACATATAAATTAGACCTTTTGACTAAGTGCCCTACTTATTTTATTCTATTTCTTTGTTCTCTGTGCATTCTTCGGATGTTTTCTATTAAATGTCTCTGAGCCTACTAATCTTGTTTTCTGATGTGTTCATCTAACGAGTTCTTAATTTCATATATTGTTTTTACAGTTTTAGAATTTCCATTTTTTTTTTTTTAAAGATTCCATTTGTTGATATTCTGTTTTTCATCTGTTGTGCCAAATTTTTCTTCTATTTAAATACTGTTATTTTGAAGTTCTTGTCTGCTAACTGTAAGATCGTGATCAACTCTTGGGTTTGCTCTGACTGACTTTTAACACTTAATTATTAGTTATCTCTTCCTCTTCTTCCCGTGTCTAGTAATTATTTTATTTTATGCTAGACATTATATATCATACATTGTAGATTATTTGGATCAGGGTAATTTTCTCTAAAGGATGTTAAGTTTTATTCTATCAGGTAATAAAACAACCAGCAGATCTTGTCAAAGTTTGGCTTTAAAGTTTTGTTATATAAAGTCTATTTCAGTTTTTCCCTTTTTCCTAGAACATGGTCTTTCTTGGGGTCTCAAAAAAAGGTCTTAAGAGTATTCACCAGGGTCTCACCACTTTCGGTTGTCAAGAACACTCCATCACTCTCTGACCCGGGATCTCTGCTCCACTCCCCAGCCTCCTAGTGGCTATTCTCTGTTAGGCCTCCCAGAATCTCACCCTGTGCATATACAATTAGTAGTTGATGAAGGACTTGTTTATTTTGAAGCAGATTTTTTGCACTCCTTCCCTATGATTCCTTCCTCCCTGGGTCCTACTCTTCAGATCCCAGCATTTTAGCAGTCCTGAATCAGAAGACTTCTGCCTCCTTTGCCTAATGAGATTGCTGCTGTGTGGGTTTTACTGCCTTATATTGTTTAAACAATACCTTCATGGAGAAAGCTGATAAATGTAGGGTCTATCTCACATGCTTGTCCCATCTTAAGTCTATGGTTGCAGTTGTTTTAAAGATTTTGTCTAATTTTTGTAGTTGGATAGTTTAAGTTGGATAATAGGCACTCCATCATGGCCCAAACTGTTAAGTTTCTCATGGTTATCAATTTAAAGTCAAACTATTTAATAAAATGGTTAGATTTTTTTCTACAGCCATATTTAGCCACATGAATACAGGCATGTAGTAGGCAGAATTGGAGTTAATTAGTGATGTTATTTTGCTATCAGGAGTGATGAACTAAAGGTAAAGGACAGTTCTACTCTGTCACATGGGGTAGTTACTAGCTGAAATCCACACCATGGCACCTAACAACAATGGGCAAATGTAAATGCAAGGAGTGATTACACTGCTTGATGACAGAATTTGATGTGGTTAAGGAATGGAAGGTTTCATGAAGGGGGTATAGAATCAATGAACTGAAGATCTTGGTAATGTCAAGAAATTGCTGGGGTTGGGGTAAAGCAAGTTAGCCAAAAAAATGGGAAGTAGTGATGACAGCATAGATGCATAAACTGAGATCATGGAAGTGTTGCAGCTACTGATAATGTTAAGGTTTAGGGTATGAACACGGGAAAACTGACTAAAGTAGGATGGGAGATAAGATTACTGAGATCACTGGAGGAGAAGAATCAAGCTTTAAGGAGGAAGGTTATGGAAAAATCAAAACGTGTATTAAAATGACCCTGAACTAAGATAAAAATAATATTGGAGAGTGTGATGACAAATCATTATTGAGGGGAATTTGAATGTTGAGTATCAGCACATAGCAGCAGCAACAAGGAAGAGTGGGTATTAAAACTTGATGACATTAGATTTAGTATTAACAGTTTCCCAGAAGACTGGGTTTTATATGCTTTCACTCTCATTTATTAGGGATAACTATTAGAAAAAAGTTTGAGAAATATCAGCATAAAAGAGTATTCAATTTTATCTGAATTTCAAGTGAGCTAAAATTTCCTCTTACCCCTTGAAGCTAAATAAATCTCTTATTTTTGAGAGGAAAACATATTTATTTATTATTTTCTCTAATGATCAATAAATTTCTTAAAGAAATGATTTTAAAATATGCTTTACTAGTTTTTAAAAAAAACATGGTAAAGGTCTTCTCAAAAGAAAATATTCTATTTGTGGTAGATAACATCATGTGTCAACTTGGCTGGGCCTGGTTTTGAGTGGCTGGGTAGCTGGATGTAGTTATTCTCCATGATAAGACTGGTAATCAACTCCACAGTGAAATCTACTGGAGCAGCTAAGTAGCTGCCTTAGAGATGCAGTCTGCTTCCAGTAAATAAGACAGCTTTGAGAAAAGTCTCTTGAGTTTTTTGGCACGCTTGGATCCTGCATTTGGCCGAGTTCATCTCATGTTGTCTGCTGACCTTGGACCGTTAATGGACTTGAATTAGTGGCCTGCTGTGTTGCTTGGTAATTTTGGGACTGTGTCATTGTATTTGTTGACCTTGGGCTTGTCAGCCTCAGCAGCCAGCAGCTGCCTGATCCAGCTTCAGTGGGCCAGGAATAAAAGGCAGAGCTGAAGCCCAAGGTTGAGGGGCTTTCACCCAGCCCCTAGGGCTTGGCACTTTGAACTGGGACTTCTAGCCTCCTAAACTGTAAGAGAATAAACACCTGTTTGTTAAAACCATCCACCTGTGGTATTTTCTGTTAGAGGAGCACTAGAGAACCCAGACACTATTGAAGAAAACAGGGCAAAAATATATTTATAAAATATGCCAGTCACACTAAAAAAGCAATTACATGGGAGGAGGGGAAGGAAGATTGCCCAGGATATTTAAGACATGCTTGTTCTGACAGACAAAATAGAGATAAAAGACTCTTTTGGAAAATTTCCTAAGGGGAAAAGGTGAGGTGAACTTGGAACACATTTCATATACTTGCACTATCTCAAGGATTGTAGCTGTCATTGGCTGTGCCTATCTAATGCTGAATAATTAAAAAAGAGAGAGAGTAAACAAAGTCCCCTTCTCCCTCCTTATATTCTTGTTCCTAATAATCCCATTGCCATGGAGTTGATTCCAACTAACAGTGACCCTACAGGACAGAGTAGAACTGCCTCATAGGGTTTCCGAGGCTATTACTCTTCATGGACTCAGACTGCTTCATCTTTCTTCTGTGGAGTGGCTGGTGGGTTCAAACTGCTGAATGTTTGGTTAGCAGCTGAATGCCTTAACTACTGCACTATTAGAGCTCCTTTGCTTCTAATAAGCCCCAGTTAAAGTCACTGATAAACAAAAACTAACAGGATATAAAAAGCTTACCTGGATATGGCACTCTGCCCTTTGTTACCAGTTCTGTCTGCAGAATTCCAAAAGACCATACATCAGACTTTATTGTAAATCGACCATATAGTGCAGCCTCAGGAGCTGTCCATTTGATTGGGAATTTTGCACCTAAACCAATATTGAAAATTATGCTTAAGTAAATAATTTAAAGCAAAACAAACAAAGAGTTCTAAAAAGGGCTGATCTTCTGTCAATATCCCTATTGTGTGTGTGTCAAATTCTTCAGTAGTATAAGATATATGGGGAAAAAACCTCTTTAATTTTTAATATTTGTATTAAAATAAAATCATGTATCTTCCTGACAAGGTAGTCAATGTTACTAAAAAAAAAAAAAAGTTAGTGGTAGGGACAGAACATTATTCAAGAAAACAGAGGTAGAGGCTATAAAAAACAGCAGTCAAAATAGATTATAGGATCTGTAACTTTTTAACTATAATCTGGCACCTAGCTGCTAGTTAGCTATTGGTTGATGATGCATATTATATGGGATTCTAATGTCTACTGTTTTTTCTCTCTCTCTTTTTTTAACTATAATTTCTTTTCTATTTTACATCTTTCTGAAAATTTTATTGTACTATCATTTTTAAAAGCCCATATTAACTTACTTGTTTAGTGTATGCCTTCTATGTGTAAGGGATAATGCTAATTGTTATGAGTGATACAGACACAATGCCTTCATAAAGCTTATGCACTTAACAATGGAAACAATATTATAAGTATCTTATATACACACATATAAAATTAACTTCAAGTATGTAACTGTTTTAAAAGAGTTCATTAGATGTTTACATAAACAGGAGACCAATTTTCACTGGTACAATCAAAAAAGGTTTCACTAAAAACAGTGGCAGCTGACTTACGGCTTAAAAGAATGGTTGGAATTTTTACAGATTACAGGTAAAGATTACAGAAGAATAGAACCCACACCTGTGGTTTCCAGCCAAACAGAAGACAGGCATATGAGTTGAACATTTACCTGAGGCAGATACACTCCTTGGAGAGAACAATCATTGAGAAAGAAGGGCTGCCTATGCACAGGGAGACAGCTTAGGGGGCAGGAGTCCATGGAGGGATGGACACTGCGAAGAGGCAACTATGGGGAGAAGTGGGAGGGGAGCTGTTGCATTGTGGTAAACTGTGGTCAGGGAGCTCTGGTAGCACAGTGGCTAAGGCACTTGACTGCTAACCAGAAGGCTGGCGGTTCAAACCCACCAGCCACTCCTCGGAAGGAAGGTTGGGCAATCCTGCTTCCGTAGTGATACTGCCTCGGAAACCCAAGGAGGGGTCGCTATGAGTCGGAGCCGACTCGACGGCAAATAACAACAACAACAACAACAAACTGTGGTCAATGTCATGAGACAAAGTATATGTAAACTGCTGTATGGAAAGTGAATTTGCTCTGTAAATCTTCACACAAATCACAATAAAAAAAAAAAAGATTACAGAAGAATAGATGATATTCCAGCTGGAGGGACGGCACAAAGGTACGAAGGTTGAAAAGAAAGCAACGTGTCTAGGTAAGGTTTCTCAGCCTTGACACTACTTGACATTCTTGTTGTGGGGGGCTATCCTGAACGTTCTGCAGTATCCCTAGCCTTTACTCACTAGATGCAAGTTAGCAGCCTCCAAGTTGTGACAACAACCAAGTCTCCCCAAAAAACCAAACACACTGCCACTGAGTCAATTTTCACTCATTGTGACCCTATAGGACAGAGTAGAAGTGCTCCATAGGGTTTTCAAGGCTGTAAATCTTTATAGAAGCAGATTACCTTATTGTTCTTCTGTGGAGCAGCTGGTAGGTTTTAACTGCTGACCTTTTGGTTAGCAGCCAAATGCTTTAACCACTGTGCCACCAGAGCTCCTTAAAAATGTCTCCAGATACTGACAAAGTCTCCTGGGGGGCAATACCACCCCTAGCTGAGAAAGTGGTTTATATATGTACCAATGTGGTCAGTGACAAAAAGTCACTAGTCTACTACAAAAGGAGAAAAAGGATCATACATCAATTCATAAAGCAAAAATTGTAAGTATATAGGTATGTCCTTTTTTCTGAGATTACGTTCATCTTACATGTATAGTGTTAAAATATAATTCTTATTTTATGAAATGATGGTAACAGAACATAGTTGATTTTTTTTCCCCTGGTATGTCCACTAAATGAACCTTCATTAACCTCTACATTGAGCTTGCTATAGTGCATTGAAATAATTTGTCTACAATTCTGTTTGAAATTGGTCAGTGAGCTCCTTAATAGTAGAAACCATGTCTTCTTACAGCTTTTTCCTAACACTTAGCATATACAGGGCTGCAAATGTTTGTTAAAGATAAGACAGGACTAGAGTAGAAGACTCTGGAAGCCAATGCATCATGCATGAAACCTCTACTTTGTCAAAGTTATGCTCTTTCCTCAAAGCTCTACTCTATAGCTATCATCTCTGTGAGGTGTGTCTGGTTCTCTCTGCTTTTCCAAAGTAGTTTTAATACACTTCTCTTGTGACATTAAGCACACAATTCTTTCTAATTGTCTTGCTTTATAGTTGTTTATATGTAGAGCTACCCTGCTCATTAGAATGTAAGCTCTTTTTAGGGGGCAGGTACTCTGAGTTATTCACTTCTGTGTTCTCTGATTCTAGCAACTTCTTGTTGTTTGTTGTTAGGTGCCATGAAGAGCAAAGATGAGACCTTGAGTCATCTCCGACTCATAGCGACCCTATGTACTACAGACCCTATGTAGTATAAATGCCCAGTCCTGTGCCAGCCTTACAATCCTTTCTATACCTGAGCCCATCACTGCAGCCACTGTGTCAATCCATCTCACTGAGGGCCTTCCCCTTTTTCGTTGACCCTCCACTTTACCAAGCATGATATCCTTCAAGGAATGGTTCCTTCTGACAACATGCCCAAACTAGGTCAGATGAAGTGTGCCCATTCTTGTGTCCAAGGAGCATTCCAGCTGCACTTCTTCTAGGACAGATTTGTTAGTCCTTTTAGTAGACCATGATACTCTTAGCATTCTTCTCCAACACCACAGCTCAAAAGCAACAATTCTTCTTTGGTCTTCCTTACTCACTGTTCAGCTCTCACATGCATAGGAGGCAACTGAAAATACTATGGCTTGGGCTAGGCATACCTTAGTATTCAAGGAGACATCTTTGCTCTTCATCATTTGAAAGAGGTCTTTTGCAGCAGATTTGCCCAGTACAATATGTTGTCTGATGTCTTTGCTGCTGCTTCCATTGGTGTTGATTGTAGGACTAAGTAATATGAAATCCTTGACAACTTCAATCTTTTCTCCAACCATTGTGAAGCTGTTTATTGGACTAGTTGTAAGGATTTTTGTTTTCTTTATATTGAGGTGTAATCCACACTGCAGACTGTAGTCTTTAATCTTCATCAGTAAGTGCTTCAAGTCATCCTCACTTTCAGCAAGCAAAATTGTGTTATCTGCATATCACAGGTTGTTAATGAGTCTTACTCCAATCCTGATGCCATGTTCTTCTTCACATAGTCCAGCTTCTTGGATTATTTGCTCAGCATACAAATTGAGTAAGTATGGTGAAAGGATACAACCCTGATGCACTCCCTTCTTGATTTAAAACTATGCAGTATCCTCTTGTTCTGTTTGAATGACAGCCTCCTGATCTATGTACAGGTTCCTCATGAGCACAATCAAGTGTTCTGGAATTCCCATTCTTCTCAATTTTATTCAAAATTTGTTATTATCCATTCAAATGAATGCTTTTGTATAGTCTAAATAAACACCTTTCTGGTATTTGCTTTCAGCTAAGATCCATCTGATATCAGCAATGATATCCTTCGTTCCATGTCCTCTTCTGAGTCCAGCTTGCATTTCCGGAAGCTCTCTGTCAATATACTGCTGCAACCGTTTTTGAATTATCTTCACAAAGATTTTACTTGCATGTGATATTAATGATATTGTTTGATAATTTCCACATTCTTTGGGATCACCTTTTTCTTTGGAATGGGTACAAATATGGATCTCTTCTAGTCAGCTGGCCGGGGAGCTGTTTTCCAAATCTCTTGGCATAGCTGAGTGAGTGCCACCAGTGCAGCATCAATTGGCTGAAATATCTCAATGGGTATTCCATCAATTCCTGGAGCCTTTTCTTTGCCAATTCCTTCACTGCAGTTTCAAACTCCTCCGATACCACTAGTTCTTAATCCTATGCCAACTCTTGACATGGATGAACACTGACTAATTCTTCTTGGTACAGTGAGTCTATGTATTCCTTCCATCTTCTTTTGATGTTTCCTGTATCATTCAATATTTTGCCCATACAATCTTTCAATATTGCAACTAGAGGCTTAATTTCTTTCCTCAGTTCTTTCAGCTTGAGAAATGCCAAGCATGTTCTTCCCTTTCGGTTTTCTAACACCAGGTCTTTGCACATTTCATTATAATTGGCTTTGTCTTCTTGAGCTACTCTTTGAAATCTTCTGTTCAACTCTTTTATTTTGTCATTTCTTCCATTTGCTTTAGTACTCCCCACTCAATGGCAAGTTTCAGAGTCTCTTCTGACATCCCTTTTGGTCTTTTCTTCCCTTCTTTTCTTTTTAATGACCTCTTGCTTTCTTCACAGATGATGTTCTTGATGCCATCCCACAATTTCTCTGGTTTTTGGTCACTGGTGTTCAATGCATCAAATCTATTTTTTAGATGGCCTCTAAATTCAGAAGGGATATATTATCAAGGTCATATTTTGGTTGTCATGGACTTGTTTTAATTGTCTTCAAGTTGAACTTGCATATGAGCAGTTGATGGTCTGTTCCACAATCAGCTCCTGGCCTTGTTTTGGCTGAAGATACTGAGCTTTTCCATTGTCTCTTACCACAGATGTTGTCGATCTGATTCCTGCATACTCCATCTGGTGAAGTCCACACGTATAGCCTCCATTTGTGTTCGTGAAAAAAGGTATTTGCAATGAGTAAGCTGTCGGTCTTGCAAAATTCTATCATGCGATCTCCAGCGTTATTTCTATCACCAAGGCCATATTTTCCAACTACTGGTAACTCTTCTTTGTTTCCACCTTTTGCATTCCAGTCACAAATGATAACCAACACATCTTGACTGCATGTTCGGTCAATTTCAGACTGCAAAGGTTAGTAGAAATCTTCAATTTACTCATCTTTGGCTTTGGCAGTTGGTACGTAAATTTGAATAATAATATTAACTGGTCTTCTTTATAGGCCTATGGATAGTATCCTGTCAGTGACAGCACTGTACTTCAGGACAAATCCTGAAACAGTATTTGTAATGATGAATGCCACATCATTCCTTTTCAATTTGTCATTTCTGGCATAGCAGATCATATGGCTATCTGATTCAAAATGGCCAAAACCAGTCCATTTCAGCTAACTAATGCCTAGGATATCGATCTTTATGCTTTCCATTTTATTTTTGACAACTTGCAATTTTCCTAGATTCATACATTCCATGTTCTGATTATTAATGGATGTTTGCATCTGTTTCTACTCATTTTGAGTAGTGCCACATCAGCCAACTTAGTATTTAAAAAAAAACAAAAACTCACTCAGTGCCATCGACTCAATTCGATTCATAGCAACCCCTCCTTGGGTTTCCAAGGTGGTATCTCTATGAAAGTAAATTGCCCAATCTTCCTTCCAAGGAGTGGCTGGTGGGTTTGAACTGCCAGCCTTCTGGTTAGCAGTCAAATGCCTTAGGCATTACGCCACCAGAGCTCCTTTAATAGTAATTGTAATTAATATTTACTGAGCATCTACTATGTGCCAGACAGGTACTGTTAGGTTCCATACATCCATTATGAAAGTTTTACAATAATCTTGAAAAGTAAGTATTTACCACCTAGTCTTTATGAGTGAGGAGACTGAGACTCAGTCAGAAAGGTTAGATAACGTGACTGAAATCTCTCAGCTAATAACAGACGGATTGGGATTCAAAAAGTCCGTACTTTCTCTGTACACAATGCCACTTCTCATGTATCTGTTCAGATCAAGTGAAAGAACCTATGTTAATTTCTATAAGCTCCCTTCACTCTTTACAGTGTCATTCTTCCAAATGTTTTTATTTACCATATTTACCATTTTATATATATTAAGGCTTATTATAAATTTGGAGTAGAAATGGTTTCCAAAGTCTTTGTAAAACTGTAAACCATTTCTCAATATATTCATTTCAAACATACTTTTTCTGGTCCTTACTGTAGTAAAATCTGGGTAGTTTATGAAATTTGTTACAAGAAGAATTAAAAAATGTTTATTTGTTGGCATGCCAAAGGAAATATAAGAAGTGTACTATTTGTTATACTTAAAATGCTAAGAACACCCAGTCAAGTTCTTCTTTGGGGGAAGTAACTATAAGAAAGCTAAAGTATTATTTATTATAAATACTTTTATGAATAAAATCAACAATTTTATGACCCTTCTGTGGAGATCCAGAACTATTCTTATTCTGTAAAACCCTATTATGTTCAAAAGAGTGTAAAATAAGAAAATTCACAGGACATTAGGCTATAAACATTTACTAAAAAGTAATTTTACCTTGTCTTGCAGTATATTCATTGTCTTCAATTAACCTTGCTAAACCAAAATCTGCTATTTTGCACACAAGGTTTTCTCCTACAAGAATATTAGCAGCCCGAAGATCTCGGTGAATATAGTTCATTCTTTCAATATATGCCATACCATCAGCAATCTCAGAAAGAAAAAGAAAAAAAGAAATGACATAAAGGAAAAACAAGGAGAAGACAATTTCGCTTAACGTTAAGTCAGACTACTGAAAAATCCTGTATCTCGAAAGGCGATAACGGTAAGTGGGCATAGTCTCTAGTAGATAACAGAACAAATATTAACTTTCATAATAACAATACTAAAACAGGCTAAAGGGAAAGTCAGACTTCAACAACTAAAAGGCAAAGACATTCAGCATATGCAGTCACCATTAGGGCCATAATGAATGAGTGCCTTGTTTTGTCAGTAGTTAAGAAGTAGCCACAGGGTTACTTAGTGCCTCTGGACACAAGCCCATCAAGGTCCACATCAGGCACTGATGTAAGATATCTTAGTGATAAAGATCTTAACCAGAGTAAGGCTCAGCAGACTACATACAGCTTGCTGGCCAAATCTCACCTGCAGCATGTTTTTGTATGACCTGGGAACTAAAAGTGATTTTTACATTTTTAAAGGAAGAAGATGGGAACAAGAAAACTACTGAAGAAAGAAGGAAGAAGAAAGGAAAGAAAATGAAGGAATGAAAAGGAGAATTAATAATAATAATATACAACAGAAACCATTTATAACCACAAAGTCTTAGATATTTATTATCTAGACATTTTATAAAAAAATGGAGTACCAACTCCTAACACAGAGCATGTAAAAGTCTTGAATTTAGGTGCATGGAGCATGTTAAAAATAGACTAAAATGTGATATGTATAGTTTTTTAGTATAAAGTTTATAAAACTGGCATATTCTGTGGTTCTCTGGATACTCACCAAGAGAAAAGCATTCTAGAACCAACATGTCAACCAAAGCCAATAAAAAGCCGCTTAAATACCAACCATAGAATAAAAACTTTCAATCATTTTCACTTTATATTTAAAAATAAAAATTCAGTAGAATAAAAACATCTGACTTGTCAACTTTTAACTATATATGCCATCTTAATTCTTATTTTGCATTCTATATTGTTTAAAAGAATTCAGCATGCTTTAGATTTCTAATATCTTCTTTGTAATACAATCATTTACTATCTTAAAATTTACCTGTTGAAATATAAATACATACACATTTTATATTTTAGATGATTACGTTTTCTGAAAAACCATGTAATATAGGACAGGACTGACCTGGACATTCATTTTATGTCTGGTTTTAATACTGCTTCTACTACTAACAACTTATGTGACTTTTAAACACCTCTGTTTTTCAGACACTACACAATCTGTAACATAAAGAAATCAAATGTTCCTTTCAGTTCTCAAATTCTATGACTTCACTACAGGCAATCCTGGGATTACAAACATCTGATTTACAGACAACTCCTACTTGCCCTTTAAAGTTACATAAATTTGCCCTTACTTTGAAACAGTGCAAGCCCTATTCACAACAAATTCTTCATCACAATCACCTTCACTTTCAGCATATACAGCTTTTAAATCACTGAAAAGCCTTTCAGCATTTTCTGGCAATAAAGTAAGAACAGTATGCACCTATTTCAACTTACCTATGAATTCTTAAACAGGAACAAATTTTGTTCATAACCTGGGGACTGCCTGTATATAAACTATAATATTCTGCTAAAATTATTCTACATTTTTAATTCAAATTGATTCACACACACATATACATACACATACATACACACACAAATACATACATACATACATATATATACAAGTACCTGAGCAGCCATATCAACCAGTTGTGGGAGCTTCAAATATTTTCCATCTCCCTCCTTCAGGAAATCTAATAAACTCCCTGTAAGAGACAGAAAGATATTCACAGAAAACAAGAAAATCTTAAATTAGGGTTGAATCAAATAATCTCCCACTTCCAAACAAATCATCAAACCATAATACAAAACATTTTAGCTTTCATTCTTTAAATATATTTTGCATCTTGGAATTTCTGAATAATTATCTTTCAAGATTCTAAATGAGGTCCCTAAAAATTATACAACTTCTCCTGATAATGCATAAAAACAGGAAAAATGCAGTAATCTCACCAGATTAGAGGCATTCCTTTGCTTTGATCAAGATCATTGGCCAAATTTTTGATCCAAAAAGCAGTATTTTACACACTTACATATTTTTCAAGTCAAAGTGAATCAAGAGTTCAGACTAGTTAGGAACATCTCAAGTGAGATAAAACTAAACCTGAGTGGCTGAATGAGTTGTCATGAAGTATCAGCCCGACCAACTTCTCTCAATTTCAGATCCATGGAACAACAAAGCATTGTAAGTAACAGAAGAGAGAAAGAATAGAAAGGAAAAATCTGTTTGCTTTTCTTCTAAATACTGGTTAAAAACTTACCATTTACTTGAATCTAATCAAGAGAAAACATCAGACAAATTTGAAATAAAGTACATTTTATAAAACAACTTTTCTGTTCTCTAAAAAAATAACAATGTTGTAAGAGACAAAGAAAAACTGAAGAAGTGCTCCAGATTAAAGGAGACTGTTTTATTTAGTGCTGCCATAACAGAAATACCACAAGTGGATGGCTTTAACAAAAAGAAATTTATTTTCTCACAGTCAGGAGGCTAGAAGTCTGAATTCAGGGCACCAATTGAAGGGGAAGGCTTCCTCTGTTGGCTGTGGAGGAAGGCCCTGTCTCTTCGTCTTCTGCTTTGGGGTTCCCCTCTCTCTCTCTCCTTGTTTAATCTCTTTTTACATCTCAAAAGAAATGGACTCAAGAAACACCCTACACAGACCCTGACTCATTAACATAACAAAGACAACCCATTCCCAAATGGGACAGAGGTTAGGATATACAACACATTCTCTTGGGACACAAATTAATCAATAATGCCCCACCCTGACCACCAAACATGTCCTTGCCATATGCAAAACACACTCACTCCATCATATCATTTCAAAAGTCTTAAATCAACTCCAGGTATAAAATCTCATCTTCTGAACCATCTAAATCAAATATGAGTAAGACATTAGGTATAATTCTATCCTGGGCAAAATTCATTTGTGAACCTATGAAATCTAGAATACAGGTTCTCTGCTTCTAAAATACAATGGTGGAACAGGCACAAGGTAACTATTTCTATTACAAATGGGAGAAACTGGAGGGAAAAAAGATCATGGGCACCAAGGAAGTCCAATCCCAGTGTAACAATTTACATTAGCTCTCAAGGCCTGAGAATGAATAATCCTCTGTTCTTTGGGACCATCTGGGCAAAGGCCACACAGTCTTCGGCTTCAGCTGCGCCTTCTAGGTCCTGTAGAATGGCAAATCTGCTCCCTGGGCTTTAGGCAGCCTCTTCTCCCAGCCAGAGGAGTGGCAACCCCAACCCCTCGGCCAAGGCATGCCCTGTTCTGCCTCTTGTGTATGGCAGTCTCACCCCTCAGCTTTGGTGGCAGTCCCATATCCCAGCACACCTAACAGCGGCTCCCCTCCAGAACCAAACTGGGTTAGATCCAACTCTTTGAAACCTAGGAGGCTGTGGGCCCACCCTTTGAAACTGAGAAGGTCCTGTTTCCTATGCTCCTTCCAACAATTCTGCTGATCTCTAAGCTATTCCAGGGATGGCCCTTTTCTTTTCCTGGAGGACAAAAGATGTACCTCCTTTGGCCTGTTTCCTGCCTGTAGAACTCCAAGAGGCAGATAGTGTTTACTTTAATTCTTTCTCTGTTCCCTTCAGTCTAAGCTGATGGGTTTACTGCTATTGTAGTTGGTCAGACCCATCACTCATAGGCTTAATCTCTGTAACAACAGATTGTATAGCTACATCCTTGGTGAACATTCTAGGATACATGTCCTTAGTTTGTACAACAGAATTTCCCAAATCTTTTAAGTTCATTTTGCACAGTTCATTTTTAAGTCCATCTCTTTCCTCTTGCATTTAACTATAAAAAGCAAGGAGAAACCACGTGGCCCCTTTAAGATCTTACTTACAAGTCTCCTCACCAGATATCCAAGTGTATCACAAGTTCTGCCTTCCACCAAACATTTGAACATAATTCAAATTCTTTGCCACTGCATTAAAACCACCACCCTTCCTCCATAGTCCAATCACACATTCATCATTTTCTTTTAAAGCCTCACCAGAAGCACATTTAACGTCCACATTTCTAGCAACACTCTGTCGCTAGTGCTGTATGTATTCTCTAAGATGATAGAGACTTTCTCTATAGCTTTCCCCATTTCCTTCTGAGCCCTCACCAGAACTGTCTTTGATAGCCATAATACTAGGCAATCTAGACTTTTACTATTATCAAAAGCATCAAACCCACTGTCATCAAGTCCATTCTGATTCACAACAACCCTCTAGGACAGAGTAGGAACCCACAGCGTTCCCAAGGCTGTAAATCTATATAAGGCTTTTACTATTGTTATGTTATGTTGTTATGTGCCTTCGCGACCCTTCCTTGGGTTTCCGAGAGGCGTTATCACTATGGAAGTAGATTGCCCCATCTTCCTTCTGAGGAGTGGCTGGTGGGTTTGAACTGCCAGCCTTCTGGTTTAGCAGTCAAGTGCTTTAGGCACTAAACTACCAAGAGCTCCCACTTTTACTATTAGGTACCTTAAAACTCTTCCAGTCTTACCCATTATCCAATTCTAAAACTGCTTCCACATTTTAGGTATTGCTATAACAGAAATACAACACGTAGATAGATGGCTTTAACAAACAGAAGTTTATTTTCTCACAGTTTAGGAGGCTAAAAGTCCAAATTCAGAGTGCCAGCTCAAGGGGAAGCCTTTCTCTGTTGGCTCTGGAAGAAAGAATCTTCTGCTTCCTGGTTCCTTGGAGAGCTCCCTGCATCTAGTCATCTATCTTATCCCATTTCTCTATTTGCATGTTTTAATCTCTTTTTACATCTCAAAAGAGACCGACCCAAGATACACCCTACACTAACTTGCCTCATTAACTTAATAAAGACAACCCATTTCCAAATGGGATTAAAAACCACAGGCACAGAGGTTAGGATGTACAACACATTTTCGGGGGACACAATTCAATCCGTAACTGAGACTACAGAAAAATGAAAACTAAATGCAAGTCATGACCACGGATTGCATATAGGATCAGGGAAAACATTGCAATAATTAAGGACATCATTGGCACAACAGGTGAAATGTGAATATACACTGTGTAACAGAGTTGTATTCATGTTACATTTCCTGAATTTGATCACTGTATTATGGTTATGTAAGAAAATATCCTTGCCTTTATGAGTCCTACTCTGAAGTATTTAGGGTAAAAGGAGCATGATGTCTCCAACGTAGTCTCAAATAGTTCAGGGAAAAACCATCGTATTTTATATTTATATACCTCACTGCCGTCAAGTCAGATCTGACTTATAGTAACCCCTCCTTGGGTTTTCAAGGCGGAATCACTATGGAAGTAGATTGCTCAACCATCCATCTGAGGAGTAGCTAGTGGGCTTGAACCACCAGCCTTCTGGTTAGCAGTTAAATGCTTTAGGCACTATGCCACCAGAGCTCCCACATAAATATTATATACATATACATACATACATACATACATATATATATATACACATACATACATATATATATATATATATATGTATGTATGTGTATATATATATATAATTGGTAGATCTAGCTGAACAGAGTTCTTTGCATTATTTTTGCAACTTTTCTATAAGTTTAAAATTATTTCCAAATAAAAGTTTAAAAAGAACAACCTTTCTTTCCATGTTGACAGAATAATATCCTTTTCATCTTCATTCATAGAGATTTCTAGTCAGAGGATATCTTTCTTTCGGTCTGTTTATCTACCCCAGGGAAACATGTTACTGTGTTTGTCTACTCTTTGCCTATTCAAACATTTACTGAGGACTGCTTTGTAAAAGGCACAGTAAAAGATACAAAGGTAAGTAAGTCATGGTCCCTGCTCTTGAAAGGACTATACAGTAGGTATTACAGAAAAGTTATTGTACAAACTACAGTGGGGACACAATGAATATAGTTAATTCTACGAAGAACTCAAAAAGGCTTCATAGAGGAGATGCATCTTAAAGGAAGAACAAGGGTAGACAGGGAATTCCAGGAAGACAGAGTAACAAGTATAGAGGTAGTAATGCATGTAAATTCCAGGAACTGAAAGCAATCCTTCCAACACAGGAACACAGGATACATAGACAGGAACTGATGAGAATGAAGCTGCAGAGGAAGGAAACAAAACATAGACGACACTGTGTAAATGTGCTTTATCCTATATATATAGTGTTTTATAGGGGCTCTGGTAGCATAGTGCCTAAGGCACTTGACTGCTAACCAGAAGGCTGGCGGTTCAAACCCACCAGCCACTCCTCGGGAAGGAAGGTTGGGCAATCCTACTTCCGTAGTGATACTGCCCTGGAAACCCAAGGAGGGGTCGCTATGAGTCGGGGCCGACTCGACGGCAAACAACAACTACATAGTGTTTCATGGTGAGAAGCAATGTGAACCAATTTATGTTGAGAAAGCAATCAACCCACTAGCAGGCTGAGTGGTAAGACTGGAGTAAAAACAAAAAAAAAACACAACCATTGCCGTGGAGTGGGATGCAACCCATAGCGACCCCTCCTTGGGTTTCCAAGGCAGTATCACTACAAAAGTAGATTGCCCAACCATCTTACCGGGGAGTGGCTGCTGTGTTTGAACCACCAGCCTTCTGGTTAGCAGTGAAATGCCTTAGGCACTATGCTACCAGATGAAAACTGCACAAAGTCATAAAAGTTCCTGCAGTGATCTTCCTGCTGTTAAGTCAATTCCAATTCATGGCAACCCCATG